AGGCCTGGGACGTGGGCCTTTGGGGGACACTGCAGACCCAAACTTCAGCAGGAAGAGTGTTTGAACATTTCATGGGATTCGGACATAGTATTGTGTCGGCCTGCCTGGGCATGGCAGAGTCTCCGCCATGCTGAGGTCTTCCACCTGCCCTGCTGTACCACCCAGTCATAATGCCAAACAAAACACCTATTAGTGCAGTGGTATATGAATGGATCTGTTTGTAGCACTTCAGTAAGTCATGGATTTCTCATTGCTGAAGCTCCATATAGGTAGATTTCACCAAGTCTGTTTCACCAGCTTCACGTGGGTAGGGGTGACACAGCTGACCCCTTTAACCTTCTCTTACTCTAGCTACCCATAGAAATCAGTGTCCAGCTTCTGTGGATATGTGCTGAGTGTGTTTGCCTGTGGTAGGAGGCAGCTTTCATGATTCTCAAGGGCTCTGCATCTCACAGAAGCACCAGACCTGTTTTTTAAGCTCTGAAACCTGGTGGTGGTTATATTCCTGGTGGTCAAGACTTGGCCGATTTTCTATTTAACCAGGAAAATGGGCTCAGACTGTGAGCTGTCTCCTGGAGCGACACTCTTGGAGAGGCTTGCTTAAAGGAAGATAGTGCAGAGAAAATCTCAAATTTACTTGTTAAGTGGCTTTATTAGATAGATAATTTTACATTTGAATCATAAGGTTAACATGTCTAGTTAAGGATTTTGTTTTAAATTGGGGAGAGTTTTTTCTCTTGCCACAGTAACTTGTTTTTAATTTTAATTTTTTAAAATTTATTTATTCCAATTAGGTATATATGACAGCAGAATGCATTTTGATTCATTGTGCATAATTGCAGCACAACTTTTCATTTCTCTGGTTGTATGCGATGTAGTGTCGCACCATATGTGTAGTCAATTGTACCTAGGGTAATGATGTCCATCTCATTCCACCATCTTTCCTGACCCCATGCCCCCTTCCCACCCTTTTGCCCAATCACAGTTCCTATGTTTTTCCCCTGCCTCCCACCCCCGTATGGATCAACATCCACTTATGAGAGAGAACATTCAGCCTTTCGTTTTTTGGGGATTGGCTTACTTCATTTAGCATGATATTCTCTAACTCCATCCGTTTACCTGCAAATGCCATAATTTTATTATTTTTTTAATGCTGAGTAATATTCATTGTGTATATGTACTCAGTTTCTTTATCCATTCATCTATTGAGGGGCATCTAGGTTGCTTCCACAGTGTAGCTCTTGTGAGTTGAGCTGCTATAAACATTGATGTGGCTGCGTTTCTATAGTATGCTGTTTTTAACACCATTGGGTATAGACTGAAGAGTGGGATAGCTGGGTCAAATGGTGGTTCCATTCCAAGTTTTCTAAGGACTTCTCCATACTGCTTTTTCCAGATTGTTTGCAAAAAAAAAAAAAAAAAAAAAAAATTTGCAGTCCCACCAGCAGTGTATGAGTGTGCCTTTCCCCCCACATCCTCGCCAAAACTTATTGTTGTCGTTTGTGTTCTTGTTGACTGCCATTCTGACTGGTGTGAGATGAAATCTTAGAGTAGTTTTGTTTGCATTTCCCTAATTGATAGAGATGTTGAACAGTTTTTCATATATTTGTTTGATTGATCATCTTTTGAGAAGTGACTGTTCAGCACCTTCGCCCATTTATTAATTGGGTTGTTTTTCTGGTGTTAAGTTTTTTGAATTCTTTATATATCCTGGAGATTAATGCTCTGATGTGCATGTGGTAGAAATTTGCTCCCAAAATGTAGGCTCTCTCTTCACCTCTTTGTTTCTTTTGCTAAGAGAAGGATTTTTAGTTTTAATCCATCCCATTTATTGATTCTTGATTTTATTTCTTGTGCTTTAGGAGTCTTGTTAAGGAACTCGGGGCCTAATCCCACGTGATGGAGATTTGAGCCTATTTTTTTCCTCTGTTAGGTGCAGGGTCTCCTCTGGTCTAATTCCTAGGTCCTTGATCCACTTCGAATTGAGTTTTGTGCATATTTATGAAAGATAGGGGTTCAGTTTCATTTTGCTGCACATGGCTTTCCAGTTTTCCCAGCACCATTTGTTGAAGAGGCTGTCTTTTCTCCAGTGTATGTTTTTGGCACCTTTGTGTAGTATGAGTTAACAGTATTTATGTGGGTTTGTCTCTGTCTTCTATGAAAACTACAGAACAATAAATGAAATTGAAGAAGACCTTAGAAGATGGAAAGATCTCACATACTCTTGGATAGGCAGAGTTAATATTGTCAAAATGGCCATACTATCCAAAGTGCTATACAGCTTCAACATGATTCCCATTAAAATCCCAACGTCATTCCTTATAAAAATAGAAAAAGCAATCACGAAATTCATGTGGAAAAATAAGAGACCCAGAATAGTCAAAGCAGTCCTTAGCAAGAAGAGTGAAGCAGGAAGCATCACAATGCCAGACCTTAAATTAATTATACTATAAAGCTATAGTAACAAAAATGGCATGGTATTGGCATCAACATAGGCATGTTAGTTTTTTTGATTTTAATTTTTTGTCTAGAAAGACCAGAATCTATAATCCCTGGAGATTTATAATCACTAATAGCAATATCATAGCTTTTTAAAAAAATTATTTTTATTTCAGTTTGTTGTATATGACAGTAGAATGCATTACAATTCATATTACACCTGTAGGGCACAATTTTTTCATATCTCTGGTGGTACGCTAAGTATATTCACACCATTTGTGTCTTTATGCATGTACTTTGGATAATGATGTCCGTCTCATCCCACCATCTTTTCCACCAATATCATAGCATTTAAAGACTACTGAAGAATATATCTAATTCTTAGGGATTTGATGAAAAATAACATGGTGGTTTTTAAAAAATTACCTGTCTTATTTTGGATAATTATTATATATTCAACTTGCAATTATAAAATCTAGGATTGTTCAGAATTAAATTTTTTTTGAAATGATTCTTTTATCCTTTTACTAAGAACTTAGGCTTTTTAAAAATCCTGTCTGTGCTTGCTGTTAATGTTAGAGTCCTAGTCAAAATAGTGCTACAAAATTTTTATACTCTTGATTATCTGTAGTGACTTATGGGGCTTTGAGAATGTTAAGAAATGGAATTTGAGACCTAGTTCTATAAGTTTCAAAATGTTTTTGTGGATTCATGTGGTAAAAAGGACAGATGGGAATTTTCTTCTTTATTCTTATACCAGTTGTAGAGTAGAGCTGTTAACATTTGCTTTTCAAAAAATGCCAACAACTGAGGAACAGCGCAGGGGTGAGAGGGTCTACAGACTGGACGATCACCTTCACCATGTAATTCAGCCAGCAGTTCAAAGGTCGAATGTATAGTGTGTGTATGAATGTGTATGTATGCATGTCTCCCCAAACAAGCCGACCTGTTCTATCAGATGGATTTTACATAAAAATGCTTTCTTTTCTCAAATAGTTCTCTGCCTTTTACATTTTCTTCTCATTTCTATCTCTTGCCTCTCATCCCAATTCCAGATCTTTATTTCTTAGAAAATATTTTTAACTCACAGACTAAGCATCGGATGAAATCACTGACTTCTTTACTTAAAATGACTTTCCTTAAAATCTGAACTTCATACTTGAAGTCGGCTTTATCTCCTGTTCCATTGGGCAGCACTGTGTTAGTGTTCACATCTTCCTGATGCCACTTCTTGTCTCCTTTTAAGTCTTTGTCTTAGATAATTTTGTAGCATTAACAAAATGGCATAGTTGGAGAATTTTCTCAATTGGAAGTTCCATAATATGAATATTTTAAATTGGTTATAAAATGCTTATTTTTGTTCATGATTTAAATGAAGAAAAGGTAACCCTTACAGTAGTTTTCTTTTGTTTTAGCCTTCTAACCTTTTTTAAAAAATGTTTATTTTTTAGTTATAGGTGGGCACAATATCTTTATTTTATTTTTATGTGGTGCTGAGGATCGAACCCAGTGCCTCATGCATGGTAGGCCAGTGCTCTGCTGCTCAGCCCCAGCCCTTTCTAATCTTTTCTTGTTTGTTTTTTCTTGGTTCTGGGGATCCAGGGCCTCTTGCTTGGCAGGCTCTGCCACTGAACTACCTGCCTCTCTTTTTAAAACATCACTTATAACTAACTGATTCTTACTAAAATCATTCCCTATTGTGTTTTCACAGTTTAGAGTGTGAGGTTATTGCTTCCCATTGGAACAGATTTTTTAAGCTGATCTTCTGATCCCAAATTAACAAGTAATTAATTTTGCTGTCTAAATTAATCCACACAATGCCTTTGACTTTTCTTTAAGAGCACAGTATCTGTAATCTTTCCACCTTACCTCCCTTGGAAGTGGGTGTGCTGATTTAACTCAGACAGGGCTGGGTCGGGGTTGAGGAGGAGAAGCAAGAACGTTGTTGGAGGTGGAGTGGGGCCTTCAGATGTAGAGTTTTGCAGTGGGTGCCTACTAAAGTAAATTTGAAAGATTGGCACTGGTTTGAGGACCATGGGGATTGAACTCGGGGGCACCTGACTGCTGAACCACACCCCTAGCCCTATTTTGTATTTTATTTAGAGACAAGAGTCTCACTGAGTTGCTTAGTGCCTCGCTTTTTGCTGAGGCTGGCTTTGAACTTGTGATCCTCCTGCCTCAGTCTCCTGAGCTGCTGGGATTACAGGTATGCACCACCATGCCTGCCCTGATATTTTCATTATGTGGTAAGGACATATTATAACTATGCAGTTGTGGGCTTATTTCATAGATTGAAGCTTCCAAAAGACTTTCAAAAAATAGAAATAATTTATGTTCACTGTAGGTTTGTAAATAGTGCTAAGAAGTGAAGAAAACAGATTTGTAAGATCTGTTTTATCTTGAGAATAAGATAAAACACCTGGAGAAAGGTGCTCTTGGCATTTGGTAACATTTATATGTGTACAGACATTAATTCATAAATTAGGTTATATTTATTAAGTTTTGGATATTGCTTTTGTTGTTGTGAATTCAACAAAATTTTCCCCCTTTAATCCTCACAGGCCCCTTCACAGATGTAGTCACTACGAATCTTAAACTCCGAAATCCGTCCGATAGGAAGGTGTGTTTCAAAGTGAAGACTACGGCACCTCGGCGGTACTGTGTTCGGCCCAACAGTGGGATCATTGACCCAGGGTCCACTGTGACTGTTTCAGGTGGGAATCTCATCCTGAAGTCAAGGCAGTTGTGAATGTTGACATTTTATGATTGTGTCAAATTTGCTTTATCTAATGGTGTTTGATTTGGAGGGACGGACACAGTTTTTAAAGATGTTCTGTTACCTTCCTGTATGCAGATTGCCACAGAAAACTTCTCACCTTGTGTGTGCGGGGGTGTGAGGCTAACTTGTCATTATTGCCAGTTTAAAACTTGGTGTCTGGATTCCTGCACCTCACCACTGCATTGCTGCCCTTGTTTTGTCTTTGAAAAATGACACCGTTTTGGTAACTAGATCACTACATAGTACACATTATGAGCAGCTGTGGAAGTGTTCTAATTCTTTTGCTTAAAATTGTGCAGTGCCTCTTTTTTGCCTTGTTGTATTCAGTGACATGAGTCTTTACGCCTGATATTGTGTTAACAATGTCTTGGAAATTTTATTTTTATTACTCTTTTTTGCTGTTTCAAAGTGTACTTGGTTCTCCCCAGATAGAGGCCCCTTCCTCCTGCTGTGGAGTATGTACTGGTGCTGTGGTTAACACCTCTGTGGATTGTTTCTTTTCTTCCCAAGGTTGTGCTCCTTGACTGCCTTCTAGGCAGCTGGGAAACGGAGAATCATGTCTTCCTGGTGGGGAGCCCCTTAGGCCTCACACGATCCGAGATTGTCCTCTACTTTTTCTTGTGTAGCAGTGCTCAGTACCCACTGTGTCGTAGATGGCCCGTGGATTTTTACCCTCTCCCACATGAGCACCTCCAGGGTCATAGCCTAGAGGTGTGTAAATCCTTATGAGTATTCCTAAGATGCTGAGAATTCTCTACTGATTTTCTAGTTTTTAAGCCCATAGCAGATTAAAAATAGCAAGTTATACCAAGAATGAGAGCCTGGAGCAGACCCACTAAGACCCTTTTAGAAGTAGAACCTCACTGCAAGGCAATTATGGGCAGTCTTGGTGATACCAGACCCTCAAGGCACAACCTGGAGGAGGCTCTGCAGCTGATGTTCCTAGCCCCTGGGTTGAGGTGGCCTGGGAGAAGTGCTTTCAGCTGTGCTTGCTCAGGCAAACCCAGAGCTCTTGGGAAAGTGTGTGGGGAGTATGGAAGAGGAACACACGTGTTCTGCACATTGCTGTCTACATCTGTAAGCTGTCAACTGCATTGGGAGAAGGTGGAATTATTTCAGTCCATGTGGTTAAAAATGGTTCTTTGGTGCAGCGAATCCTGTGTATCCCTAAAACTATTGCTTTGAGGGTTTCATATTGCTGAAGTCTTACTATATTAATGTTTCTTTATGAGAGTTGATACTACTTCCAGAGTATTTTCTTCATACCTGGATTGTGAAAAGCTCTAAACTAGTCATGGCTGCACTGGTTTCTAATTCCTCCCCATCCAGCTAGCAGTTAGGCTTTTCTAGGGCTGAGTGTGGAGTCTTTCCACCAGTCCTTCATACCTCTGCTTCCTCTGGCAGCCACCTGCACACCTTATGCCACATGTTCATTTCATTTTCCCCTTTCTGTCCCTGTTACACATAGTTTTGTGGATTTGCTCTTCTGATCTGTACACACTTACGTGTATTTTTGAGATTGATTTCTTTTTATCATGTGGTCTGCACTTCTTTTAAAGAGTGTACATTGTAAAGTTATACCAAGTTTTACATTTTCTTTGTATCTGTGGACTTGTGGTTCCTAGTGATGAGCCTGTAGTGATGGGTTGGTGAAGTACTGGTGTAAACTGAGGCATCTATCTGGTGCATTTTCTGCTGCTATGGATTTGGCCCTTAAAAAGAATCTGAACCATGAAGGGAGTTAATGGGCTTCACAGACATACTTTATAGATAAATTTGTCTTATATAATAGATATTTCTTCCATTTGTCTTTTTGAAGATACTGCTGTAGATTTTAGAAATAATCTAAGGATTAGTAGGGAAAAATTTACATAATACCCTACACATATATTTTTATAATTGTTGATTTCTTCTTTTTTTTTATTCTAGTTCTGGGGATTGATCCCAGGACCTTATACATGCTAGGCAAGTGCTCTTCACTGAGCTACACCCCCAGCCCTTGTTTATTCTTTGTGATTTCTTATTTTGGATTTATAAGTTTGGCATGACTTAAAACCACTTGGAACCTCTGAGCACCCTTATAGCCTATAGATAATCATAAGTGCTTAAAAAAATGAGAATATTATTTGTTGGGACTCCAGAATAAGTTCTATACTTCAAGAGCTTCTGATTTTCTTTTGTACCTTGTTTTCTTAGAATCAGATTTAAACAAATAGGTAGGCTCTTTCTTGAGTAACTGTGTATTTAAAATCCATTTTAGAAATATTAGTTATGTTAAAACAATATATGAAGGTGAGCTTTAAAGTCACTGAGTATTTCTCCCGTATCTCAAGTTGGACAACTATCCCAGTTGAGATAATTATCGAATACTGAAATGAAGCCTAATCCATATTATAAGTAGTTCTGATAAACAATTACTAGGTTTACTATATCTTACAAACATAGTAGCAGTTGATGTTAGCAAAGTTTTGAAAATATCACAAACTTCAGTGTAGAGGGGTCAGTCATAAGTCATTGTTATTTGTTTATTTGCAGGTTATCAAAGAATTAGCAAATCAGAGAAGCAGACAGTTTAAATATAATTGGAATCCATACAGTAGCTTCTAGATGCCAAGTGTAAACAGTGCAGCAGGAGGGCTCTTGGCCCGTCTCCTGCACCTTGGCCTCTTGCTGAGGCACTGGGGGGAGTGGTGAACAGGCCAAGGCAGAAGGCAGAGTAATGTGTCCTTTTTTCTTCAGTGATGCTGCAGCCCTTTGACTATGATCCCAATGAAAAGAGTAAACATAAGTTCATGGTGCAGACGATTTTTGCTCCACCAAACACTTCAGATATGGAAGCTGTGGTAAGTCTAAAAGAAGTTCAACAGAATTTATTTTGGCGAATGTAGTTTTATATTGTAGGTTTTGTGTAGCTGTCAACAGGGAAACCTGATTTTTAAAATAGTAAATGTGTAAGTCTGTCTGTTACAGAAAATCCTGGTTAGTCTCAGGGAAGAATTTCGAAGTAATATTTCTTAGCCTGTAATTGCTGGTGGTGTCAGTGTGATTTTTACCTGACAGTGTTGGTAGGCCTGGGATCACCTAAGAGTTCCGTGAGGTTGGCGGGTACGTAGTGCAGCAGTGTTGCTGTCCTCTCTGCAGAGACTCGTGTGCTCTTCGGCACTCTAGGCAGCCTTACTGGTTCTTTAGTTGTCCCTTAGGTAGCACCTGTCTGCTGAGCCCTGAGCTCTTTTGTCTCATGTCTGGTTTTGTTTGTTTTCAGTGGAAAGAGGCAAAACCCGATGAATTAATGGATTCTAAATTGAGATGTGTTTTTGAAATGCCGAGTGAAAACGACAAGTTGGTAAGTAGTTAAGTGTAAGAAAATTGGACCTTATTGACCTTTGTTAGATTCTTTTTTTTTTGCTTCTGTTTTTGACTTTTAGAGTATATGTGCTATGGCTAGTCCACTTAATGAAACTTAGTGCTTTTTTAAGTTCAAACAAGGTGATATGCTTTTTTCATAACCTTTTGCTCATCCAAGAAAGAAAGAAATACTCACCTCTTTGGTCCAAGGTGCAGAATGGGGACAACTTATTTAATTCTAAGTTTTGGCCACTTAAACCACTTCTAGTTCTCTTTTAGAATGAGATGCATACATATATAAGTATATTTAGGGAATGGATATAAGCTGCTTTTTGGCAGCTACATTTTGGAAGTCTTGGGATAAAGAATTTAATTTATATGGATACATATTTTTGCAGGGTTTGGCCTTTCCCAAATACTGTGTTCACTTTTGTTTTTGGTCAAAATTGATGTGATTTTATTTATTTATTTTTTAAACATTCCTTTAGTTGTTGATGGACCTTTATTTATTTATATATGGTGCTGAGACTTGAACCCAGTGCCACACATATTAGGGAAGCGCTGTACCACTGAGCCACGACCTCAGCCCATGATTTTATTCTTTAGTAAATAATTTTTTGTTGCCTTTTGATGAGTATGAGGAAAATAGATTATTGAGGTCTGAGTTGGTAGAGTGTTCAGGAAGATCAAAATCAAACCATTAGTCTGTGAATGTGTATAGCTGTTTTGAAAAACTCAGAGTTAGAAAAACACCTAGAAAAGCAGGCAGGATTTACTACAGCGAGCCCCTGTGAACCTGTTACCATCTCAAATAATTACTTGTTCGTGCTTGATCTTATTTAATTAAACCCTACTACTTCCCATCACTTGATTGGTTCTAAGGCAAATCATAATTTCATCTGTAACTATTTTAATGCATATTTTTCAAAAGATTTTTTATAAGGATAAAAGTGTTTTAACATGAAGACCATTATTATGCCTTTAAAATTTGTTTCATGAATATCAAACTGTCCAGGAAGCATTCACATTTTTCTCATTCCAGATTTTTTTTGCAGTTTGTTTGAATCGAAGTAAACGTAAAGTCTCAATGGTATTATGGATGAGGTGTGTCTTACGTCTTGTCATCTTGAGGTCCCTCCCTTTTTCTAATAAGGGAACTTGTTTGCCTCTAGACTTTTCCCCACATTTGGTCTTTGCTGTTGCATCCTCACAGCCTCATTTGACTTTGTCTGTCCTTGGCGTTTCCTAATTGGAACTTGGGTCTGGTGCCTGATGAAATCCAGCTTTGTTGTGCTGAGGGTAGGACTGGGCAGGACCTGAAGGCGCTGTTCTCGCTAGGAGGCACAGCACCACAGCCTCTCCCTCTGGTGAGAGTGGTTCTTATCCAGCATCCCCCCAGCGCAGGCAGCATGCCAACACTGGTAGGTGGGGAGCCTTGCTGCATGCATCTGTGTAGATGCTGCTCAGTTTCATACAGTGCACTGGATAATGGCTGTGACAAGGATTTGCCCAAAACATCAGTAATATTGAAATTGTATTAGTTCATTTAAGGTTCTTTACAGGTGATGTTTTGTTCCTACTTGATGTACTAAGAATTCTTATAGTGAGAAACTAGTGCTCATCTAACATTTGGTGATTGAATGATTTGAGTTTATAGGGGCAGTATATTCTCTTACTTACAGGTTTAAAAAGGTGAGTCGATTGGCAAGCCTCCCTGTGGTGATGCAGTCCTCCTCTTCCTCACTTATACTTTCTATACTGTTAAAACCATGGGTTTAAATAGAGGAAGGTTTGGATTCCTTTCTGTTGTTGTTGGCTCTCAGATTGGTTGGGAGGAGGTTTTGCAAGTTGATCTTTGGTCCCTTTGACAACTGCTAGTCTTTGGTACTTTCTTGGTGTCTAGTATGGCAGGGTCTTTCCAGGCCTAGACCTGAGCCACCTGTTCCTTCAAGGAGCTCAGGGCCCTCTAAGCGCAAGATGGCACATCTAGGGTGAGATTGATTTTGAATTTTATTGGCATTTTTATCAAACCATTCTTCTGACCAAGATGAGAGGGAGACCTGTTTGTCATTTGAAGGTACTCTTTCACATGGCAGAGTTTTAGTGGTAAAATCATGTCAACACATGACGATGTGGGTCCTTTCCTTTCTTTAATGATTGCATTTTGTGGTTAGGATATGTTTTTGAAGATTTTTTAATAATTCAGAATATGAAAATTGTATTACTGATTCTAAGAAGAGTGGGTAGGTATTTGTATGAGCCAGCTGAAGTAGTGTTTTGATACAGCAGCACTGTAGATATGGGTTATGACTCATGGCTCGTTAGCCTTGCTCTTTTGATTTTTGATGGACATTCTTTAATTATTGAAACTCACTTTCAGGTTTTTCATATAAAATGAGACATACCACTTTCAAATTTGTCAAATAAAAATGTGTGAACATCGTGTCTATATTTTATACAGGCTTGAGATATGACCTTCATTGATGAGTGCTTATGTTAAGAAGAAGAGGGGATTAAATATACCTTTTTTTGTTTTTGTTTTCTTTCTTTTTGACGGTAGTGGGCATCAAACCTCAGGGCCTTGTGTGTGCTGTGCAAGTACTGTACCACTTGAGCTACATCCCCAGACCACGGCTGTGTTTTTATATGGCAGTTTTCCCCAAAACATGAGCTTGGCAGAGTTTTATGGTCAATTGAGTTTGAAAAAGTACTTCAAAGACCATGGCTACCAGAAAGGGATCATGTTGTGTATTTGAGTAATATAGGCTCTGAGAGGGTCTGCAGTAAGTAAATATATGCAGACCAGCATTTAACAATTTAATATAACATAAGTAACTTTTGGATTATCCAGTGTTCAGAAAAATGCACTTTGAATATATTATTGCTGCTTAAACTCATTCTTGTTGTGCTGCTGACCTTCAGATTCTGCAAGAAATGTTAATTCCTTAGAAATGTATGTATGTTCAGGACAGCCTGGCACAAGCCAGTTCTGTATTTTGGATGATGGTAGGACTTTCTGTCAAGTCATCAAGTCATCTTATCCTTTATGGAAAATGTGAAACCGAAGCACCGAATCTGAAGTCTTCATGACAGACTGTGTTTATGAGAAAGCTCTTGTTTACTTGTTCATAATGACGAATAAAAATGAGACTTTTTTTAATCTATAAAATTACATGGAAAACATCTCCGCCATGTTACGTTATGTGTAATTAGACTGTGTTGATAACTTCTAGTTCATAATTGCCAATATGTGAGGTTGATTAAACTTCTTAAAGTTGTATTTGACATTATTGATTTCTTTCTAGCTGTCATAGATATGATTACTTAATATCTCCCCTCTGTGTATATTTAGCCTAGGTTTAGTATGAAATTTATCTTTAGAAAAGAAGGTTGGGCATTATTGGATAGTATGAGGTCTAGTCAGTTTTCTTCGGGTAAATTGATAAAATGCTCTACAAAGTTGAATTCTGACTTAGGAAACTTGATTAAAGATCACATTTCCTTACTCAAAGGATATACATTTCTAAATGTGAGAGATTGATGGAAATGTAATAAAAGAATAGAGGACAAAATGTGCTTTTTCGTTTGTAGTTATGATTGTAACAGCAAATTCTTTGAGATCTTTTGACTCTTTTGTAAGTTAACTTAGCCCTTCTGGGGTTGAAACCCAGGTGTGGTGCTAGGCAAGGGCTCAGCCACTGATTGATGCGCCTGGCCCTGTTTCTGTTGTGTGAAATATGTCAGCACTGCTCATCTTGGCTTGAGCAGGTGGCTGGTGACAGCGTGGCCTGATGTATGAGTCTTGGTGGCATGTGTGATACACATTCAGCCCTGTTCATTGCTGGCCGCAATGGACAAGCCCATGTTCAGTTCGTAACCCTGTGCGTGCACATTGTGAAATGATGGCCACAGTCAAGCTAATGTGTCAGCTTGCACAGTTACCAATTCTTTTTTTGGTCATTTATTTTGTAAAGAGTCTGTTATCAGAATTTGATCTTCATAGTCAAGAATTTGGATATTTTGGAGAGCAGATAGTTTGTAGTAGTAGCTGGATCAGTTGTTGATGCTTTTTTCCTCAAACGTGGCACAGGTCTAGGTGATTTTAGTTCAGTGTGTCCCACTCCTTCACATTACTGCCCCACTAGATTCTTGCCCTCCCAGTAAGTCTGCAGGCCTTTGAGTGTGGTCATGAAAGTATGACACACTGTTTTGAGAGTCATGAGCTTTTTAGGTGTGCTGAGAGTTCTTGGGCATTTACACACTCTGAAAACAATGGGAAGAGAGTTGTGTTTTATTTCTCCAGAGATTTTAGGACATTGAATATTTAAATAAGAAAATGATTGAATTTTTGTGATCATCTTGTAAGGTATGAAAGGAGCCAGCCTTAGAAGTGGAGTGGTTGGATCTGTGTTTTCATTTTAACACTGTAAGAAATTATGTGTGACAAAATAGCTTTTATTTGAACCATCCATCATTACAGTGTGAGTTTCTTTTTGGGAAATGGCTAATTAGGATCATAGATAGGATGGCCAAGGAGACCCAAGAGCACTTTTGTTTTAGAATAAAATGAGTTAGGATTGTAACTTTCCCTGGACAACAGGTATACATTACTACTATCCTCAAGTACCCTCGGGGGCATGGTTCCTGGTGCTAGGGAATGGCAGGTATGTGACTAAGTGTGTTGCAGTTCACCAGGGACCGAGGTGGCCAGTGCTAGCACTGGAGTTCAGCACGCTCCTGGGGGTGGACAACTGGAGGGAGGCAGGGGATACTTGGGTGTGGAATGTTCTGTAGAACGGGGTTCTTGGAACCATGGGCTTCATCTAATTTTTGACAGTTTTATATCATGTAATGCCTAATGTCGAATTAATGGTAGGTTTTCCCCCAGGATTTAATGTGAAATATTTATAACCTGTGTAGTGTTTTGTGTCCAAGAATTAAAAAAAAAATTTTGTGGTCTTAACTTCACTTGGCAATTTCCAGATTTCTTTAGTATTTAATTTTATGTATGTTTTTATTAGCTTATGATGACATTTTCTAGAAAAAAATAACAGATTTGTTTTAATGAAGACTTCAAAACAATAAAATTTCAAGGGTCATACATAGAATGACATTTTATGGTTAAAAATATACTTTGTTTTCTAAGACAGAAAACATATCTGATACCAGTAAGTATTATTTCAGAGTCTATTCCAGCCTTTTATAGAATATTATTTTTGTCTGTACCAAAGGAAATTGAAGAGTTATCGAGCTGTGGAGTTAATAACTCCAGGTTCATTGTTCTGGGGTGTGTGTGTGTGTGTGTGTGTGTGTGTCTGTGTGTGTGTCTGCGTCTGTATGTTGAGTTTCTGAGTACAAAAAGAGGTTTGCAAATCATGGCGTTTTTGAACTTCAAAGGGAAAAAATGTTCAAGTTAAGTGGTATCAAAGGTAAGAAAACATGGAAGTGCTCTTTTGTTTTTCACATATCGACAAGTATAAATTAGTAAAAAACAAACAAACAGAAAAACAAATGTTAAGAACCTCAAAGTCAGAGTTATTCGAAGTTATTTTAGGACAATAAGAAGCTATCATAGTGTATATAGTTAACTGATCATAATACAAATAGATCATAGCTAATTATATTTGAGAAATAAAAAGCTAGTTCAGAAACTTGTATTTTTTGCTTTCACAGAGCTATTATTTGTTCATATTGTTTCTTATGTGTAACACATTTTTATAGAGTAAAATATGAATGTTGTAGAGCCTAATACTGTCTGTCAGTCATTCCCAGTATCATACAGGAGAAGGCAGAATTTGGTTGAATCTGAGAATGTGTTTCCCATGCCATCTCAGGGCATAACTCCACCAGGGATTGTTTCGACTGTCACCTCAGGGAGCAGCATCAACAACACAGTTGCAACACCTGGCAGTTTTCACACGAAGAGTGACCCCAGGGGACTCAATGTGTTCAAACAGGAGAAGCAGAAGGTTTGTCACAGGGAGCTAACAGACTAGGCATCTACTAGTGCTACAGTTAAAGCAGATAAGTGGTATTGTGTGTTATATGATGTGGATAGAATTGAATTTTTGTTTAAGATTATAATAGAACCACAAAGCACTTAAAAATCATGCACACTGATGATTCTGTTCTAAAAAAAAAAAAACCTTGTCACGTAATAAAATTGCAGTAATAAGCAGGACAAAGTAAGTGTGAACATTATTAAGCTGGTGTAATTTTTCCTGGGAATGAGATTTGGAAAACACTTGCTAACCAAGGCTTTTGTTGCTTATCTGAGTCAAGTCAGCAGGTGTATCTGTAAAGATGGGAGCTGGCAGGCACTGCTTTCTGTTTATATTTTCTGGCAGGCACTGTATTTGTGTTTATATAAAAAAGATAAGTGAAATTACACTTTATATTTTGTTATCAAGTACAAATATAGTAACCTTCCTGTAACTGTCATTGTTGATGATTTGTAATGCCCCAAGTTCTTTGTAGCTAAAGCCCTCAAGTCCTTAGTTATAATTTTAATATTAACGTTTGTGTATGTGGCGTGTGTGTGCATGTGTGTACTTAATATACATTTATATAAAATGCCACTCTATGACTAAGATTAACGCTGACTTTGGTGGAGGAATGGGTGTAATATGATTCCCTTTATCATTTTTTATCATTTTTGCTTACAGGAAACTTGAGAGTTTTTTAACACCCCCCCCCCCCCCTTTTACTGTATTGGGGACTTAAAAGGGTGCTCTGCCACTGAGCTACCTCCCCAGTCCATACCCCTCCCCCCACCTTTAAATACTTTTGAGGCGGGGTCTTACTAAGTTGCCCAGGCTGACCATGAACTTATGATCCTTCTGCCTTCTAAATCGCTGAGATCACAGGCATATGCCACTGTGTGTGGCAGAAAGCATGCAGTTTTAACAGATTATTTATACTTCGATTTGGCTTACAATGGATTTACATGCTAATAAGGCTTTGAAAATTATTATCCTTTATCTAAATGTCTTATACTTTTTTGTGATTTGGAGTTAAAACTGATTCTGGGAATAATGGTCCTAGAGAAATAGTAGATTGGTTGTTTAGAAAAATGATTTCAGGCAACCTTGTTATTCAATTAATGGTTAAGGTTCTAATCCCGATGTTCATATCATAGGACCCCTGTCAGCCCCACTCCCTCCATGCTGCTGTCCCTTACTCTGAGAATGCAGCCTTGTGTTGGTGACATTCAGTTCCTTTGTTCTTCCCAGGGCTTGCAGTCACTCCTTTGCCTTACACTTGACCTTTCCCCTTCTGTTTCCAGACTGGTGTTCCCTCTATCTAATTGCCTTCAGTGGAATTGTTTGTAATATTGGAATTAAAATTCTGATCCCTTTTGAAAAGGAGTGTAGAGTATAGATGGAGTATAGATGGAGGGACTTCCACAGACAGGCTAACTAATATAAAGCCGTGGAAGAATGCAATGTAGTACATGTTGTCCTGTCTTAAGTAATCCACTTCTTGACCTTTCAGTCTATTCTCAGCCGCAGTATTAAATGTTAATGTAACGTTACTGCTGTTCTTCAGTTTATCAAGAGTCACAGCATGTTGAATCCTTCTAGTTTGCTTGTTTCATGTTTCTCAGAACAACCAGTCTCCTCTTTCTGGACCAGTCTGAAGCACCTCTCAAGGGACAAGCTGTTTCCTGCAGCCGCCCTCACTAATGGAGCTCCTGAATGGAGGCATTCACTTAAAGTCACACCTGCCTAGTGCTTCCCATCAGGCTCTTCAGATTGTCACTACGTGAATGACAGCCCTCCCCCATTACCCCCAGCCAAGTTAGGTTATCTATGCTTCTACATTAAATATACTTAAATAAATTAGATTTCTTTGCATTTGATATGTATGTTGACTGGTTTGTAGGGGCTTAATAATATGTTATGTAACTATTCTGTGTAGCTTGTCTTATAGATTTGGCTCAAAGTATATTTAAGCTTTATTATATATCCTTTGCATTCTGGTCTTAATGGTTATTCTCCATTAGTTGGGTATGAAATATATTGTTATAAAAGCAATATAACAACATCTAGAAAACTTTCAATATGGAAATCAACATCTGATTCCATCACTATAAGAGGATAATTCATTGATGAGTTACTTAAAATCCCACAGAATGGGAAGCCTCTCATCAAACTCCTAACCAAAGTGAAATGTTTGATAAGGCACAGAACAGAATTCTTAATGATATGTTATATTTTAAATGAAAGTGAAAAGATACGCAAGCAAATCAAAAAGCAGAATGATATGCCTGGAGATTTTATAAAATGAGTATGAGAAACAGGAAGAAAACATGAGCCCATGTTGGGTTAGTGATTTTTAAACTTTTGAGAATTTTCATTTAAAAATAAAAATCCAGTGGTGAAGAGCTCAATGATTCTTTAATTCCTCTCACTGTTGGCCACATGTGTGTCTTCCTGATGTTTCAGTCAGCTTTCTGATATGAACATGATTTTTTCTTCAGTTCTTCACTAGAACCTGAAGATTGTTCGTTGCCATATTATTGAACATTGCCTCCTGCATGGAGGTAGCAGAAGTTGGCTTTGTGCGAGGATGCCCTTTGAGCACACTTGGACAGTCATTTAAAAGTTAATTTTAATTAGGGAAAAGAACAGGAAAGAATACTGGCAGAGAGCAAAGTCTACCTGAAATGGACTTTTAATAGTAGAGGTGGGATTGGTTGCTCACTGGGGAGATGAAAGGGAAGAACCAGAAGGCTAGAACAGAAAAGCTCAGAGGACGTTGAGTAGGCTCTGAGCCCCTCTCAGCCATGAAGCCTGAAGAAGAGCGGACAGGTGTGGAGACAAGTGCAGCTGTGTGGCGTGGTGTGTTAGAGCCTCTGCCAAGCAGAAGCATTCCTACGAGGGTCTAGACCCGGGGAAGCCAGTCTCCTGCCTGAGATGCACCCTTCTGCCTCTTGGGCAAATGGTCTCTTTACCCTCTGCTCGCCTTTGACAGCAGGGATGGTGTTTTCTTGCAGCTTCTAGAAAGTCTTATAAATGAGTTCTGTGGAAGGGCCACAGCATTGATTTTGCAGATGTCTTTGTTAGCAGTTTACAGCTGAGTATCTAGATATTTTATCTTAAAATTTTTTTTGGAGGGGGGGTTTACTGGGAATGGAACCCAGTACCTGTGCATGCTAGACAAAAGCTCTATACTGAGCTACACCCCAGGCCTGTGAGACTTAACCACAAAGCATTTATTTAAAATGAGAAGGAAGGCTTGCCCCACTGCTGCTGATGCCATGTGTGGTGGTGAAAAGGGTGTTGGTCAAAGGGTTTTGAGGAGACGCGCAGGTACTGTGTGTGTATCTCTAGCCCTTCTCACCAGCTTGACGTGGTTAGTAGTGTCAGGAGGGAGGAAGACTTGGCCTTAGTGTGTAAAGGACCTCAGGTGCTACTTACTCTTATTCCACAGTGAGCCCCACATATTAAAGCTGACAGTATTACTAAGGGTTTAAGGTTTATGTTTAGATCATAGACTTCTTAAACTCCTTCCCTCTTTCTCTGCAAGAATATGTTTGTGTTTATCACCTCCATTTCAATATTTAAATTCTTCACTTACTGTGTCCCATTAACAGAAGCGCTTTCTTTTGAGTCTTTTTTGCTTAGGTAGTTTCTGATTTCATTGTAATGATTAGGATAATATTCCCCAAGTCCCCAACCCCTCTTTGTGCAGAATCTGAGCACTGAAAATGACCTTCATATTTTGAGTGTTGGCATCATTCAGCATATTTTCATTGAATAACCAAAGTGTTGGGGTTAGGGGTTAAATGCAAAGGTAAATGGTTCTTGCTGTCCCAACCTTTGAAGTGTTGTAGGAAAGAACTTCACAGATACATGATTGTGATGTAGGATGAGTGCTGTGGTAAGGTAAGTGCCAGGGGCCGTGGGAGTAGAGGATGGGAGTGCTGCCTATTTAGCTTCTCTACTGCTGGTACTTAACTGGTTAAGGACTTTTAAAATCATTTGCATATAACCATAATATTTGGTATAAAAAATCTTATTAATGAAATTAAATATTGTCAAAAGTTTTCAAGAATTTTGGGGAAAGGAAAGATGTAGAATTTTACATGGTTGTTGAGTTTAAAAATTCTCCATATCTTTGTACAGAATGATATGGAACCTAGCAAAGCTGTTCCACTGAACGCATCTAAGCAAGATGGACCCATGCCAAAACCGCACAGTGTTTCACTCAACGATACCGAAACAAGGAAGCTCATGGAAGAGTGTAAAAGACTTCAGGGAGAGATGATGAAGCTGTCAGAAGAAAATCGACATCTGAGGGTAAGTGTGTTGGTTGAAGGAGTAGGAGGTGCACCCCCCAACCATTTTACAGGCCATCTTAGTGTGTCCAGAGTCACCGCTTCCTTCTTCCTCCCGGTTAGACTGTGTTCTGCCTTGTCCCCATCCTTGTCAGCCTGTCTCTTTCCCGTCTCACCCTGACCCTCCTGGCTTTAGCAGGCAGACCTCCTAGTTAGTCATTTGTGATCTGCTCACCTCCTCTGATTTCTACTGATCTTGTATCTCTGTATTGTCACCCTGAACTGCCTGAGACGTGTTGCTTGCTGTCCTCAGCAGTCACTAGTTGCGTGGAGCTGTCAAACATGAGTTCATACTAGGTGTCTGTGGGCATAAAACACAAGGTAGTGTTGAAGACTCAGTACCAAAAAAGTAGAATCTCTTTATTGTTTTGTTATTTACTGAGATAAAAATATTTTGGATTTACTGGGTTGAATAAAATATATTACTAAAACTTACCAAGCTCTCTATTTTTAATGTACAGTGGAAATGTATAGTGGCATGTGGTTCACGTCTGCAGTGCACAGTGGTCTGTGTTGACACTCTTGAACTACTGTGTTCTGAGGAAATGCCTCCTGTCATCCCTCTTTTGCTGTAGCATAGGCTCTTCTGACTGCAGGTGAATCCTGTCCCTTTCCTCACAATACACACTGTGCACAACTTCACCTGGGACATAGTGCTGTTGTCTTCAGTGTAGTCTTCTCTCCGTTCAGCAGGAGCATGGTCGAGGCCTATTGCTGCCTCTGTGCCCAGCCGGCAGTGCTTCTTGGGCACGTGCACAGAGTCATTGTTCATGTGTTTAAGTGGTGAACTAGATGACTGGCAAGGGAGGCTGGAGTTGACCATGTGCGCAGTTGGTGAATGATTTGCTTTTGGCAAGTGATTACTTGATTTAAGACCTGAGTACTTTTAAATTTTCTTTTATCCTGATCACATTACAACATGATATAAAAGTGTATATAAGGAAATCATCTAAATTCTGATATTTAGTCTGCATTTGATATTCCTTCTGTTAAATGTACTCAGGAAGTACACTCTGAATTGAGGCACAGTATCTTAAGTTGATCTCTGAACTCCACTGAAGAATTTTTTGAATGGATGTTTGGGACTTATTTCTTCACATTCCATAGCGCCTCCTCGAGGTCCCCCATTCCAGAAAGTGAAAAGAGTGTCTCTCACATCCATACACCAAGGGGCTTTAGGATGATGTGCTTTTTTGCTTTTCCTGCGGTGACTTCTGTTCTTTGGTGAAAGGTGTGCTCCTTAGGATGCTCTGTAGACTTACTCTCAAGGCCACTGCAACTGAAGGGATGGCATAGGTGGGGAGGGACAGGGAATAGGTAGGGGAACCAGGGACAGCAGCAGGCAAGGCTTGGTTCCTGGCCTCTGCTCTTATGGGATTTTATTTGAAAAGGATTCTACTGTTTAAAAAAAGAAAAATGAGACACCCAGAAAGATCACTGGCTTACAGAATAAACCCTAGGCCCCTAGCATCCCACACAAGGCCCATCATACTGTGTTGTCAGATTTGCTCTTGCTCGTGTCTGGTCATTACTCTCTGTAACTCCTCTAGTCCTGTGATAATTCAGTCCAGATTGCATCTCAGTCACCCACTGGGCTTTTACAAAACAAAACTATGTACTCCTAGACCTAGGGAGTCAGAATCCCGGGGAATAGTTAAAAGTCTTCAGATGTTGGTGCTGTGTAGCTGGAGCTTATTGCTCTTTTTACTTGGAACTTCTTTTTACTTTGTGTAAGATCAAAAAAAGCCCAATTCCAGAAAATCTAGTAATGGCTCTTATTCCAGTTAGTGCTTACAGATGGATGCTCCTTGGCTTTTGGTGGAATTGCATACTGAGAAGCCCTTCATAACCTGAAAATATCAAAAAGTCAGACATGGATTTGATGCACTCATCAATCATCCCAGCTTAGGAACAAAGCACACCGTAGGGTGTTGGTGGCTCCCCTTGTGATCATGTAGCTTCAGGCATGGCAAGAGAGGACTGTGCCCTGTGTTGTTTATACTAGAAAGAGGTCAAAGTTCAGAGCATTTTTTACTGAATATATATCATTGTCACACTACCCTACAGTCAAAAATTGTAAGTTGAACCATCATAAAGTTGAGGATCATGTGTTTATAAGCAGAGTAGAGCAATTGTGCGAGACAAGAAAGAGGAGCTTGCGTTTGAGACTAGGCTGGTGGGGGGTGTCAGTGTTTCCCAGCATGTGCCCTGCACAGCACTGGGCATCATCGCTGCCTCATGCTTTGGGCCTGTGCCGCCTTGTCATGAGAAACTCTGCTTCGTGGTACACAGACTATCCTGCACTTGGCTGTGAGAAGCCATTTCACTTGGAGGGAAGTGGCCTATTGCTGCCTGGATCCAAGTCACTTTGACACTAAAGGCAAGACATCAGTCTCTAGTCCAGGTGCAGAGCTTCCGATGGGTGCTGTGTGTGCAGTATCCCACCTCTGCCTTAATATGCCGCTTTTAAGGAAATGTGTTTCTTCTTGCTATGTAGTCCATACCCAGAGCTCGCCCTCTGCACACCAGCATCCCTGCTTTGAGTTATTTAAATTTCATACTGAAATCTTCCTGGCCCCTCAATCCTGTAGTGTCCCATCTCTTCCCCCTGTTCCTCTGCCATGTAGGTTCCTGAGCCACAGTGAACCAATAGACTTGTCAGAAAATCTAGTAATGACTGTGATTGGGTCAAGACAGGTGTAACCTTTTTTAAATACCTTGGGCCATCATAGAAATAAATGTATGTACACAATTAGTTTTAGGGAGTATATATTTTTTCATTTTCAATTTTATTTGTTGATTGATTGTGGTACTGGGATTGAACAGAGACACTGTACCACTGAGCTGCACCCCTAGTCTTTTTTATCTTTTGAGATAGGGTCTTGCCAAGTTGCTGAGGCCGGCCTTCAACTTGTGATCCTCCTGCCTCAGCCTCCTGTGTTGCTGGGATTTCAGGCCTGGGCCACTATGCCTGTGTCATTGAGGTATAATTTACATCCTGTGAAGACACTCTTTGGGAGTGTATGGTTAGTGATATTTGGGAGATTTAGAGAATTGTGCAGCCAGCACTATAATCCAATTTTTCAAGTCTTTCCAAGACTCCAAAAAGTTTCCTAACGCATTGGCAGTTATCCTTGCTCACTCTGCCCCTAGGCAAGCCCTGATCTTTCCATCTCTATAGACTTAACCATCCCCCCCCCCCAGTTGCATATGTTTGTTTTTAAAATCTTTTTGTGCATTTTTTTCCTCCGCAGGATGAAGGCTTGAGGCTCAGAAAGGTAGCACATTCGGATAAACCTGGATCCACCTCAACTGCGTCCTTCAGAGATAACGTCACCAGTCCTCTTCCTTCACTTCTTGTTGTAATTGCAGCCATTTTCATTGGATTCTTTCTAGGGAAATTCATCTTGTAGAGCGAAGCATGCAGAGTGCTATTTCTTTTTTTTTTTTTCTCTTGACCAGAAAAAGATTTGTTTACCTACCATTTCATTGGTAGTATGGCCCGCGGTGACCATTTTTTTGTGTGTACAGCGTCATATAGGCTTTGCCTTTAATGATCTCTTACGGTTAGAAAACAATAAAAACAAACTGTTCGGCTACTGGACAAATTGTACATTACCAGATCATCACTAGCAGATGTCAGTTGCACATTCAGTCCTTTATGAAATTCATAAATAAAGAATTGTTCTTTCTTTGTGGTTTTAATAAGAGTTCAAGAATTGTTCCGAGTCTTGTAAATGTTATTTTAATAATCCCTTTAAATTTTATCTGTTGCTGTTGCCTCTTGAAATATGATTTGTTTAGATTGCTAATCCCACTCATTCAGGAAGCGCCAAGAGGTGTTCTGTGGGAAGTGGTGCCTCTTAGTGTAAATCTCCCTCTACCTTTGCTAATATCATGGCAGAACTTTTCTTATCCCTCGTGAGGCAGTTGTTGACTGAGTTTTTCATCCTTACAATCCTGTCCCATGGTATTTAACATAAAAAATAAAACTGTTAACAGATTCTTGCTCGATAGCCTGCTTGTGTCCGTGGTATCATTGGAGGGGGACCAGTGTCCACTGTGTGGTGATTGGAAATTCATGGTGCACCATTCTCTTGCGTTGAAACCCGTCCAGATGCTACCTGATTGTAATTTATAGTCTGTGTTTTATTAAGGAAAGGAATGGATAAAATTTCAGCTTTTTTGATATTTTGGAAGATAATTGTCTTTTTAAGAAGTATAAAGTAACCAAATGCCATGAGAATAAAAGTGAAATGATTTTAGTGTGTGTGCGTGCCACGTGGCTTGCATTTGTTTCCTTTACCCCTTAGTAGGTTCTTTAGTGCCTTCTCAGGAAGACCTACTCAGCTTGAGGTGTTTTCAACAGCTTAATCATTCTTATTACTTTATAACATACCTCATAGCTAAAAGTTAAATGACTTCTTCCTGCCCAATTTGACACTCAAATTTCCATTGTGGAAATTTAGTATTACTGAGTAAACCTGGAATTTTCTGGGGGAAAAAATTCGTCTCCTTCGCAAGATCTGTTAACCATGTGAAATATATTCTCAGTATGGGTGTTCATTATGGGGTCTGCCACTTTCTGCAATTATGTCTTTATTTTATTTGTACTATTCCAAAATAAAAATTTTTGGAACCAGAGAAAAGATGGTCAGTTTTCAACTGAGTATAGCGTAGTACAAGTGAATTTTTATTCTTGAACATAGGTGTTGGTTTTGTAAAAGACGCACACTCTGCGTGAGGGAAGTGGGGTTTGGGGGCTACATGTGGTGCGGTGAAGCATGGCAGCTCAGGTCATGCATACATTTTGTAAAAACAGTGACGTGTTCTCGGGTATTGTGTTACTTTTTATTTCAAAATTGTTTTGGATTTGTCAGATCCCATGCATTGTTATTTTGAATAAAAATCTCTTGCATGTATCCAAAACCTACTAAAAACAGTGGTGCGGAGACATTGCTTGCCTGCTGTGGGTCATGTCTCCACTGCTGTCGGCTTTGTTGCCAGGTAAAGACCCGGCCTCTCGCAACTGGGAAAGTGCTGCTAAAGGAAAAGGGAGTCTGGCAGGTACAGTGCTCTGGAGGCTGGGGCAGGAGTACTGGGAGTTCAGAGCCAGCATCAGCAATGGGGAGGTGCTAAGCAACTCAGTGAGACCCTGTCTCTAAATGAAATACAAAGAACTAGTGCTGAGGATGTGGCTTGGGGGTCAAGTGCCCCAGAGCTCAATCTCTGGTACTAAAAAAAAAAAGAGTCTGACATTTTTATCCTGTAAACGCACATCAATCCCTTGTCTTAAAACTCTCCATGTAGTCAGCGTCACTGATGAGAGTATCAAGTTTGATGATTCACAGATACCTTTAAGAAGGTTTTAGGTTTTCAAAAATTAAGCAAAATCCTGTCTTATTGGACTGCTCCTTAGAAGTCATTGTGCTCATCCCCTTTGTTTATAGCTGAGGAATCTGAGGCTTTCCCAGAGCTTAGAGTTTTCCTTGCCTTCCAGGTAGAGGCAGAGCTGTAACTGGAAACTTTGTAGGGGAAAAACTTGTTTAACGAAGATGACTGTCCTGATGAGCAGAAGTGCCCTTCAAGGTGCCTGTGAGACTTACCGCCCTGTGGAGTGGTGCTGGTGCTCAGGCCGGCCACCTCCCTGCTGGCCACACCTGCACTGATGTCTGTGTTCTCAGGAAGGCATCTACAGAGTGCCTCACGGGCTGGTCCAGGTAGGTTGTAGCCTGGACAGCACCTCACAAGTCCATGTGGCCTCCAGGGCCTCCCCAGTCGTGTGTGCTGAGTACAGAGTTCCTTTCTGTGCTTGTCAGTCGCTCTGTGAAGTGTGCTCAGATGGGCTACCTACAGCCACCCTTCCACAGGATCCTGCTCTATCCATGGATGGTCTGCAGGTTACGTGGTCTCCACTGTCAGGAGTTTTGTCTTGAGAACCTGCTGGCTGGTGTGTGTGGAGCGGGTACTCAGGTGGCCAGCAGCCCAGGCCTTGGGTTTGGGGGCACTGGGAGCACTGCTTTCCTTCCTCCTTTCTCTCACGTGCCCTACTTTTGCCCATTCTTGTATTTATAAGAAGCAAATTTAAGAATTGTGTTCTGAGGGCTGGGGATGTGGCTCAAGCGGTAGCGCGCTCGCCTGGCATGCGTGCGGTCCGGGTTCGATCCTCAGCACCACATACAAACAAAGATGCTGTGTCCACCGAAAAACTAAAAAATAAATATTAAAATTCTCTCTCTCTCTCTCTCTCTCTCTCTCTCTCAAGAATTGTGTTCTGAGTGTGTGGTGTGTTACCTGTAAACAAAGAAAATACACTGAGAAAAAAGGGTCAAATTTAGGAATTCTGGTCAAAATAATATTTTTAATTTCTTTGAGACGTCCTCCTGAAGTTGTTACATGTTGGGGGGCTGTGACCTTTGGAAGTATACCATTATGTCTAACAATAAGGTTACAAAAAACCCCACATTTTATGGAGTATGTCCCCTAATTTTGGTCTGCCACTGTAGACAGACTCAACTAATTGCTTTCCCAGAGCTTTGCACATTTCTGTCCAGTGATTTTGGTGTGTTCATAGATTTTAAAAATTTGACCTTTATGAAGAGATTTTGGTGTGTTCATAGATTTTAAAAATTTGACCTTTATGAGTGCTTACTGCAGGAAAACAAAAAAAATCCAGGTCCATAGGCAATCTTTATTTTCTAGCTTTCAAGGGAAGGTAAACCATTATTTATTGTGAATAAATAGACTTGAAAAATGGGATGTGTAATTTTCTTTTTCACAACACAAAAATTTTGCTTCTACATAGCAGGATGGTTTGTGTATTAGCTCACAGCTGGGTGTCTGCTGGGACTGGGGTCTGATGGCAGGTGTGCTCCTGACCTCAAGGTACTTCTTGGTAGGAAATGAGAGCAGCTGAGTTTTCAGTTCCGTATTTGGCAGCCTGCTGTGGGGGAAGTTGAGCTCCAGGGGAGTTCTCTGCAGGACAGTGAGTGACACTTGGGAATGTCCAGCCTGCTAGGGATGGTGCAAAGACATTTGAACATACATCCCTGGGGAAAAGGCATTTTACTTTCTTCTTCCTGCATGTTGGATTGCAGAATAGCGTGCATTTTAAGCAATTTGGAAAGTAAATGTAGAAAAGGCCGAATTCTGTCCTCCAGTTGCTATGGACATTTTATTTTCCTGTAATATTAAACTCTAAGCACATCACAGATTATATACTACTTTATCCTATTTTTTCATCTTGATCATTTGTCCAGTTTATTGAAAACCAAGTGTAAGTGATGACAAAAGTATTTTGCTTTATTTTTAGTCACTTTCTTGCTTAAGGTTAGGGATGTTTTACAAGGGCTACTGGGTTGGCCCGCCTCCTCCTGGTTATGCATACAGCCCTATCAGTCTTTCATTTTAGAACCAAGTTCTTGTTTTCCAGTTGTTACTATGTGGAACACCCACCTAGGACTTTTATTTCCTATAATATGGTGAAACTTTTTCAGAAATTTTTCTTTTAAACAAGAAATTGGAGAGGCCGGGGTTGTGGTTCAGGGGTAGAGTGCTTGCCTAGCATGTGTGAGCAGGCACTGGGTTCGATCCCTGGCATCACATAAAAATAAAAACAAAGGAGTTGTGTCCATCTACAACTAAAAAAAAAAAAAAAATTGGAGGAGTCACCTGTAAGCATGGCTTAGAGAGCCGCCTCTGTGAACTCAGGTTGCTAGGACACAGGAAAAAGGCTTTTACTTCGTAAATAAGTGGGAGCTGTGAATGCCAAAGCAGGGCAATTTTGAGAAGTTTTTAATTTCTAAGTGCAAGTTGTGTGAAATTATAAAGCACTTTGAGGAATTTCCTGAACGTGTGATTTAAGTGTCCACCTAGGAGATGGATTTTGCTTCTGTATTTCTCAATATTTAATGATGTTTTCAAGGTGCTTGTTGCTGTGTGTCAGTTTGCTTGGTCTTCACAGACCTCAGGAGAAGGATACCTCCTGGACGGCAGGGATTTAAGTAAAGGGAAGGGTAGGGGTTAGGTATTCCGGTGCAGGGCTGTGGTCCTCAGCCACGTGAAGGAATCTCCTGTGTTCTGGTCAAGGCAAGTGTCTCTAAAGAGGAAATAAGTATGGTAATTTTGTGATGCCTTTGTTTTCCATTAAAGACGTAGGTATTTCTCAGTGATGTCTTCAAGACATTGCAAGTTTTAAGTTTTCAGACTTTCTTTTTTCCTGTTTATCCCCAGAAGTAGTGAGGAGGGATAAAACACTGCTCATCATCTCAACCTCGAACGAAAAGCCAACATGAACATGTTTTCCTTCAGCATTTGATGATGGTTTAAACCAAATGGCTAGGTTTTTAAAACTGACTTCAAAGTTAACATTCTTGATACTGTTTGTAGTTACAAAGAAATGACATGTAATAATACTTAAGAAATTTGAATACAGGGACATTATATTTTGGGGAAGAAAAGTTACTGACAATATTAAGTTCTTTAAAAAACGGTTGAAATTGCAAATTAAGTAATGGAAATCTGTTTTCATGTTCTGGAGCAGTAAGTTTTCTTAGTTCCTTGTTTGAGAAAAGTAGAAGTTTGTTAGGAATTATGTAAACATTTTTAATATAATTGGCAAAGTACTTTTTGTATGCTATTGTAATTCAATGTATATTACTAATTGTATATAGTCAATCGATAAAAATGAATATTAAACTTTGAAGTAAACAATGTTACTTGAAAAGTCTTAGGTGTGGTGACATACCTGTAATCCCAGTGACTCTGGAGGCTGAGGCAGGAGGATTGCAAGTGCAAGGCCAGCCTCAGCAATTTAGCAAGACCTTGTCTCAAAATTAAAAGGGCTTGGGATGTAATTCAGTGGTATGGCACCCCTGGGTTAAATCTCCAGTATAAAAAAATAAACCTTTGGAGAATCCAAAAAGTCATTTTGCAAAGTACTTTGCAAAAGTGTTTCTTTGGGTACTTTGAGATCAAAAACATTTTATGAGACAAAGTTCAAGAAATCAAGTTCAGG